TTTAAAATCAATTTTACGTAAGATTTGTGTTCAATAATATTGTCCCGAAATTAGTAGGGATTTAAAGATTATAAAAATTTTGCTATTATTTCATACAATAATTTCTATGAAGATATGAGAGTCTGGTCTGTTGTTCGGGTCATTTGAGTGCAAATAGACTCTCATTTGTATTTATATGAAATATTAGCGCAGATTCTGTTGACTCTAATGTGAAGCTTATGCTGAAGAATAAGTTTATTATTTATTATAAAACGGTTTTTGTTTGCTTTAATTAAAACTGACTTATTTAAGTGTACAGTGAGTTTTTGTTTGTATTTAAAGTGATAAAACATTGTTATTTACTGCTTAAACCATTAACTGTGAACTACCGGTGAGTTTAGGAAAGCTATTGTTTTTAGCAATAATTCAAAAATCTATTAATCGGTTAAACAATAAGTCATGAAACAAATGACATAAACGAGAGCTAATAAGAAAATGCTTTAAAAGTAAATTATAATCAGTTCTCATAACTTAAACGAATTGAAAAAAACAATAAGAAACGGGAAATGAATCGTTGAACACAACTATTAATTATTGCATTACTGTATTTGCTTATACAGTATCTATCAATCATTGAAACTAATGAATACTTACGAGCAGTTGAACGACAAAAACCTCAATATATTTTTAACAATACATCAATTATAAGACGAATGCAATCAATAGAAAAAATGCATTCAAAGTTTCAATTAGTGATCAATTAATTGCTTAATAAATAACAATTTTCAGACAGTTATATAATATATGAAAATAAATATATTTTTACGTTTTGAGACTGAGTTCTCCGTTTCTTTCACTGAATTGACAGTTATGTGAGAATCTGATGATATGATTGAATGGTTGTTTAAATGGATCGCAGTTTTGATGCACTTATCACTAGAAATCTCAATCAATTGATTCAATGGTTTATTCTTTTTACGTCTTTTACGGGGTTTTATAACTCGAGGCAAACAGTGATCACTGGAAGCACTGGAAGCGCCGGACGAATCTTCTGATCCTATACTCAAACTATCACTAAAACTCTTGAACACGTGTTTGGATTCAAGCGATGTCTGACCAGAAGATTCTGAACTGCAGACTGAGATGTTGTCTGAATTGCAATTTGAATCATAGCTCTTATTAGTGATGGAAACGACTGAACATTTGTCTCCATTGGACACACTTTTCGTTTGTCTGCCATTCAGACTATTTAAACGTCGA